ATCTGAAACATTAATTTTGTTTATTGTCTTGATGTGGAATTTATGCTTGCATAAGTCAAACTTCGAAGTTTGTATCGAAGCGGTCTTAAGAGTTTAATCACTCATTTCCGGCGCATCCGGTAAGGAAAATAACTCTTCCCCGACGCCAAATATAATGATTCCCCAACACTTATCGCTAAAATGAAAGGTTCATAATGTAACTATAAAAGTTTTTCGATCTGATCAAATGACTGGAGCTTTTCTGGAAGCACGATGTGTTTCGTCCGCCGATGTCGATAGATGCATTAAAATTTCCTTTTTAAACACTGATAAAATTTTGAGAACACTTCAAGGGGGATAATCAATAAGGAATCCTCTACAAAACAGTAATATTAAATATAGTCTCATTCATATATATTAAGTTCCGAAAAACCCGCGCCATCAATAAACATTTGTACCTATAATAATTAAATCTGTAAAATGTACAATTCGGATTCTTTCATATGAGGAAACTATCAAGTTAGTTCACGGAAAAACGGTGTTTCTTTCTACTCAGGTGCCATTCGTGCCTTAAAAACTCAGGTATGTGTATTGATGTTTTCTTCCACCAGTTAAGATTAAACTCACCAACTTTTCTGTGTTCGCGCGACACAAATACAAACCAATCGTCTTATTTGATGACATTTTAAATGTTTGTTATTGCAATTACGAAAACTTGTTATTGCTTAAAGTTTGTGACGCCTGCATTTCTCAGTCGATCATTATGTTTATTGTAAGAAATAGATTTAGAAAAAAGAAATTATGAATAACAATTCTTTACAATAGAACATTTTTAGAGATTCTATGATTTTGACGTCCTAAAATTACGTAATAACCGACTTCTCTAATAACGCCTCGCTGAATGTCCAGATACCCCTCGATAACAATTCGATACTCTCTCTTTCTCTCTCCCCCTCACAGCCCCCCTCCTCTCTCCTTCTCTGTCTCACCCTCTTCTCCTTTCTTTCTCTCTTTCTATTTCTATCTCTCTAGTGAGCAAAGCGGACATGAATCTAAAGTATTTTATCTCATTGCATTTATATAAATCATTTTTGTTGCACCGAAAGTAAAGGACACTGGACCACATTTCAGGGTAATTGTTGTAGAAATGCCTTAGATGCGTCTCGGTGTATTACTTCATACAGGGTCGGTTTATGAAGAAAACTAATGTATTAAAGTGTATAAAGAATATGACTTTCTAAAGAATAACCAAAATTGTAAACATGGTGCAGCATATTAAAACAATGTTATGGCATGACAGACTTAGAATTGAAATAAGAAAACTGAATAAATTCATTTTGATATGTACAGATAAAAATTTAACTTGAGACGATCCATACTTTTTCTTAGTCGTTTGGATTGTATTCTTACGGTTGTTTCCTTGGTTTCGGTGTGCATAGAGCCATACGGGGAAGTTCTGGTTAGATTGACATCACATTTTCTAAGATTTTTCACGTACCACCCAGACGTCAACCGAGAAGTGTGCGCACCCACCCCCTTATTTTGCTTGATTTCATTAAAACTTTGTGTCGATGGTTATTTTATTGCTTTTCTTTTTAAACGTGATGAACATTTTAAGTTGCTGTATTAACACTGATTATATGTGCAGGTTTATATCTTATTAATAGTTGAATTACTTCTTTTGTCTATCAAATATCATGTTATTTATCGGACAATTATAAATAATGTATTTTTGTTCTAGACATTTACACTTTTAATATTTAAGCATTTTGTGTTACTTGTAAATACTACTGAGTAGCTTCTTGAATGATAATATGTACGTAGCATTTAATTTTCGTTTTTATTATAATATGATCTATATATATACAATATTATACACATATCATACCAGTTACAAAACATGGTAGACTCACACGCACATGGTATACATCAATAAACACTGGGGATTTTTACCAAAGTGAGTAACAAAAAGGTTTCCAAGTTTGTAATAAATCTCTGATATATAGAATGATTGACTGAGACGATGACTTTGCTCTAAGGATTATTACTTTTAATTATTTAATAAGTGAAAACAAGATAGTTTGGATGTTTTGTGCATTGCATACCTTTTGAAGAGCCTAATAGAATGCTAGGCGAATGCCTGCTTAGATCTGCACAGTTGTTGAAATTAAAGGAGAAGCGTTACGACACGAAAATTCAGTTACGTCCGCATTAGTAGTACTTGTTTAATACTATGACAGGACGTAACGTTTCTGTCAATGTCGCAATGTTCCAGGAATCGTACACCGTGTATCTTATTTATACATAGACATTATTCCTCGTAATTGTTAAGCATAATGCCTTGAACATTAATTAACATATTCCGTTTAAACGATATATAAACTTTTTAGAAGCAAATGACCAACTTTAAAACTTCAAATTTGAGCATAAACGTGGTATAAAAGACATTTAATTCATCAGACCCGTTACCAAATCTAACCACAATAGCACAGCACACACATGACTCGCTTCACTATATATAAGGCGCTATTAAAGTTCTTGAATCCAGAACTGTGTCTATTATGCACTATCCAAATCATCTCAAAAGAAAAATACAAAACTTAAATAGATAAATTTCTTCAAAACAAACGTGTTTCCTAGTTTCTAATATTCAACAAACGCATAGATTGGACAATAAATATATTGTATGATATTGCAATGGGAAGGCTTTAACACCGATGCATTTTGTCCAAATGCGAAACAGTTACCGTTGTGGGTTTAGACAACGGGTTTACACAAGATTAAATTTAGCCTGGTTCCACGATATTATATCTCCAGTCAGTTGCACAATCCAGTATTTGTTTACGTACAACAGAAAACTTTGTTTTTCCATTTTAGGAAAATGCAAATAAAAATGTTTTGCAACATAGTCAAATTTCATGAAGTGTAACGCTGACGTATGTGAATTTTTAATGTTTTTGTAGTTTTATTGATGACTTGCAAAATATATATCGTGTCATTCCGCATTAAATCATGTGCCTTATTCAAAATCATATAAAAAGCCTAATAAAAAATTTACAGTAGATGATGAATAAATATATACGTTATTGTTCATACGAAATATGGTACATAGATCTAAACTGGTAATTAAAAAACGGTCATTCCTTATATCAAGTCAAAAGAACATGCGATAAATTTAAAATACAAATTGACAAAAACGGACAGAACAAAGGAAAAATGACAAAGTAGTTATTTAATACATAAAAGATCAGAAATCAATTAATAATAATAGTGTTCTTCAATTAAAAATCAAACGCCATTGTCGGTACACATCGAACCATGTTCATCTGTTAACAAAGGACCGATTATAAGTGCTAGCTAGACTTCATTTAAAAATATGTTATCTCAAGATCAATAAAGACTAAAGTTGTGCGTATCTACATTAGGAGATTTCGAAATAGTAGTTTCGTTTCTGATTCCAATTAGTTTATCGTCTGAATTATATACTGAATTACTTTAAAAACGCAGTAGATATAATAAAATAATGACATGGATGTTATTAGTATAAATCAAGACAACCATATCGCTTTTAAGATATTCGGTATTTTTTCAGATAAAGTATTGAAAAGAAATTAAAGTGCAACATCTTTACAACAAAAATAATTTAAAATACTTTATGCTTCCAACATCGTTTAGCAATCATGTATGCACCTCATCCCATACTTATTGATATGTAAAATATGTTATCTGTTGGACTGTTGTGTTCAACATTTGGATATATGTTTGATGTAGCTCTATGATAAGTATTTGTACGTATTTGGCGATGAGGCCATCAAACGTTTCCTTTACGTAAACCACACAAGTCCCGTAGAAAGTATGTCTTGATATAACCACAGTGTCTTTATGACTATCATAACAAAGGATGAGCGTTCGTCGTTAATGTTACATGTACTCTATATGTAAGATAAACAAAAGTGAACGGAAGGCGATGGTACAGACGAGCGACGTTGCGATACATAGTTAAGTTCTAACTGAGATATGTCATGATTGTACAGAATCGACAGAACAGTCAACATGTATATAATGTGCTTTGCTATATACTGTTCAAACGATATTCATGAATAAGATTTATATTTAAAAGGGGGAATACCTGAACATGTCAAGAGTTACAAGCTGTTCACTACGTTTAATATATATACCAAGTTAAGTGTCTATAACTATCTAGTTTGCTATGTTTGTTTTGTTTTATATCAATTTCATTTCAAAGAATGCGATATCTTTGTCACTAAGTGTATATACATAACAAAGTAAATAAAAAAAGACACATTAGTCTCTAAATATTTGCACAATGTTGTTGCGTGTCACAATTTAACGTTCTAAATTTGAGGAATATGCTTATATAATGTGTATGAGTTTAATTGTGAAATCAAATCAATTTTATTATTTTGGAAAGCAAAAATTTGAAGGTAATTTTATATTTGAAAAAATAATCATATTTTTAATTCTTTAATGTTCTTAAATAGTTGTTCGATAATAAATTTGAATTATCAGCACTATATTTCGATATTTTCATTATGAAGGTCTGAGTTATTTTATCCATGACAAGATTGTGAAATTTTAATAACAAACTTAGAATATAATCAAATAAGACGGTTGGTTTGAAGTTGTGTTTTTGTTATTATATAGATAAAACTCAATGATACATTGTAGAATTACGATACCATTTGTCTGTCTTCTATCCATCTTCACATTTTGAAACAACATCATCGCCTCTTTAATCAATGCCCAAAGAAATTTTGACAATAGTTCATCGGATCATTTGATAAGGAATCCTGCACAAAAAGTAAAAGTAGTAGAAGAAGCAGCAGCAGCGGCGGCGATAGCGGTAGTGCTTGTGGTATAGGTTGTAGTCGTGGTCTTTGTCGCGGTAGCAGCAGTTATACTAGTTATGGTAGTTATAGTAGTGTTCCAGTTGTGTTGATAGAGTAGTTATAGTAGTTGTGGCATGCTTTTCATATACAATGTTTTGATTTCTGGGTTTTTGAAAATGGACACAACACCAGACGATGTCTCTGATATACAGACAAACATGGACACCAAGTCAAAAATGACAGATTTCCAAAGTATGGATAAGGCCACACAGGTACTGAAACATTTCATGTTTTACATTCAAAAGTAAAAGCTCTTATTCAAAGAGTTATATGAATGTCTAAAGTCACACTATTTCTTCGAAATGAATGCATTTATTTTATAGGAAATTTGTAAAATATCATATTGTAACTGAGCTATTTGCAAAAATAAAATTGTGTTACTATTAACATTTTTGTGACATATTACCTGCATGATTTTTAAAATTCTTGCTTTAAATAGCCTCCACAAAAGGAAACAGAAATTCAAAGAAGAGAATATGACCAAGAACAATCAGGTTGTACATTTGTTACGGAAACATTAACTGTACAATAAACTATTTCTTGTATAATATTAAGTAACGCTTTACAAAGTATTTCGCAATTATCTTTATGTATTTTGGACTCGCACGTTTTATAGAATTAAACGTATTTTCTCTGCTTTCATAACATTTCATGTTTGATATTCATAAGTTCTCGTTGAACAATAGCAATTATATTGTACAGGAAAAAAATATTTAATATTTCATTGATTTTGGCGACAATTTGATTTATACTTCAACTTTCTCGGAATATAATTATGTTGAAAACAGTTCTTAACAGTTATGAGCGTTTATATATATACAATGTATATTTATTCGTAACACAAATAGATGAGCAGGTTTTAAATGAAATATAAAAAAATGTCATCTAAAATCACTTTTAATTTATATTATGTCGATCTAGTCATTTTAACATATTTAATTTTAGCTTCAAGTACAAGGCGGGATGGTGAGTCCCCTCAGAGCCTATTACCAAGGCAAATAGGCCCGTCGGATAAGGAGTATATACTTATGATATTATTCTGTAAATTGTTTTAGGTTACTTTTGACATTCTATGATAGTGCATCAATAGGACAAAATTTATGTATTTTTTAGTATTTTTAAAACTTGAGTGGATAATGCATCATTTTCTATACACAAATAGAATATGTGAGATGTTCTACTTAGTTCATAAATATCTGTTTCCTCATTTTCCGTTTATATTGTTAATCTTATTGCTAACATGAAAATGTTTTGTTTTCAATAACTTAAAAAAAGAAAAACATAAATTCAATTTAAATTAACATCGAATATGTCAAATAAACGTTAAATATTTCAGACCTGGTCATGATTTTGACAACGAATCACAGGAGAAAATGGTAAACGTGTCTGCCAGTCAAAGTCAGTAAGGGTTTTAAAAAATAGATGTTTTATTGGAAAACACATTTAAGATATATTCTTTTTTTTAATTGCCCTTGCCAATGCTGTTAAAATGTTTTGTTTGTTTTTTTGTTTTAATGAACTCATTTCTGTGCGAGGCGACGTTCAGGTTTTATATGTCTTGTCTTTTGTTGATGTGTTTGATATTTAGATTGTAATTTGTATTAGCAGTGCTATCCATTACTTCCCTTTGCTCTTTTATGTCATGGAGCATATATTGTAAAGAAAATGTAACATTCCAATCAAATTTAATAATGCAAAACCAAAAAGAAAATATAGATTTGCTTAAATATTTTAAGCAAATGAAAATATTTTTTGCAGCAAATGGTCTCTGGATGATTTGGAAATATTCCAACATCCCATGTGCATGATCAGCGCCTTAAGTGTAACAAACGATATAGGAGAAGAAACTAAAATACTTTTAAAGAGCGAAGACAAAGTGTTTGATCAAATAAAAAAGATAGATTTACCTATGGTTGTTGTTGCCATCGCAGGTTTGTACAGAACTGGAAAATCGTATCTAATGAATCGTCTGGCTGACACGAGCAAAGGTAATTTAAAAGTGTTTGTCATTGCTATTTTATCTTGACAAAATAAGTTGCAGAATTCACGTATTTTATCAATACAACAAATTAATTGAATTGACAATTTGATAGATATAATTATTTATCGAAATTAAACTGTTACTTACCGTTATGCACAACAAAGAAATGGAAGCGAAAGTTCTGTTTTTGTTGAATTAATAAATAAATGCTGATTTATTTAGGTTTTGCGCTTGGAAATACAATTGAATCAATGACGAAGGGCATTTGGGCATGGTGTAAAATACATCCCACTATGCCGAACACTGTTTTGCTGCTTCTTGATACCGAAGGACTTGGTGATGTTGAAAAGGTATGAATAGCCTTTTTTAAAAGCATAGTATGGTAAAGAGTTAAAAAAACAATCAATAGGCTTAAAACATAAGTTATACAAACTAATAAATTAACATGCCAGACTGAAAGCTGATGTATTTTGGAACTTGGTACAAAAGTAAATTACTTATATTTGTATTTGACAGGGTGACCAAAGTCATGACAACAAGATCTTTACTCTAGCGACACTCCTTTGCAACTGTTTAGTTTACAATATGAAGGGAGCGTTTGATAACGACGCCGTCTCTAAACTCACGTATCCTTTTTATTTTGTAAGAAACATGGCTGTTACATTGTTTTAAAGGTATGTTAATGTATTATAAGCTTATGGTTCCAGAATCAAAATTCAACTTTTAAACGAAATCAAATACTTAGAACAAATATGATAATTCATGATTAGATGAAATACAAATATATCCGAACTGTTAGTGATAACAATACTTTTCCATCAAATCACCGATAATTACTTACATTCAGTCAGAATGTCTTTGTGTTCCTTTGTTACCATAGAATAACAAGATATTCCCCGATATCTGTGTATGGACAAAATGCGTATAATGCAATATTATTCTTGTTGAAATAATTAACTAGTTAGCATGTTTTGTCTGATCTATGACAATCCTTACTTTCGTGTAACGTCGGAATATATATATATGCTGTACATAGTATTTACACAATACATACCGTGGGTAACGGGCGATGCTAGTTGAGCTTATTTCTAATTTTCACATATTGTGTTTATACTGTTATTTCATCACTTTTCGTGTAGAAGAGTCGAGGGGCAAGTCGGTGACCTTAACAAAATAGGCCACTGATTAAGGAGTGGGGATCTTAATTACATGTAATAAAGTTGTCTAGGTAACTTATAGAAGGTAGGTTGTTAAATGTCGTAATAATGAAGGGACACCTGAGGACTTAGTTCACAAAGAAGCTGGAAAGTTGCCGAATGGCCTTTAAAATGTCGGTGTGACGTAGAACCCAACAAAACACTAACTTTCAAGTTATTTCAAATTCAACTTGTATGACTTGACACTAATTATGCAAAAAATGCTTATATCTTAATAATCATTTTTGATATTACAGTTACTTTATTTCTTTAGCTTTTCATCATGATGATGTTATTATATTAAAATATATAACATATTTCTTTTCATAATCTTCAAATAAATAGATAAATGAAAAGTTAATTATGTGTAACGAATTCTGATTGGAAACATATAATATGTAACGAATTCTGATTTGTTAGGACTCATATTTAGATGACTAATTTTAGCTATATTTGGGGATGTTTAGCCCAGCATTGGGGGAGCGTGTTTAAAGTCTGTCAGTTAAGTTGTTCTATGGTTATTGTTTTGTGAGTGTATGGAATTCCTTTTTACACTGGACAGCTTACCATGTCTTGCGTTCTGTTAAATCCTTGCTCTTAGATCCAAGAAACAATACAAATAATATAGAAAAAAAATTAACAAAGAAATTTATTTTAAGGATAAGTTGTAGAAAACGTCATTCTGTTGAGGATTATTCTACCTTGGTATTTATTTAATATCTTAACTGAAGTACTTCAGATTTGTAACAGAAATGGCAAGTAATATAAGATTTCGGGGACAATCGTCTGATGATAATCAATCGATCAATCTAATACTTCCTGACTTCGTTCTCTGTTTGAGAGATTTCAGTCTCAAATTGATAAAAGATGGGAAAAAGATAACAGAAAACGAATACCTTGATCTAAGTTTAGCGGAGAAAAAAAGCAAAGCAGACCAGTTCAACAAACCAAGAGCGTGCATCAAAAAATACTTTACAAGACGCGAGTGCTTTGCTTTTCCAGTTCCAGGTGATGGTGATGTTCTTGAGAATCTTGAAACGTTGAGCTTTACCCACTTATCTACTAGGTTCAAGGAAGTAACTACTCGATTTACTTCCTATATATACAAAATACCACCGAAGGAATTGCTTGCTAGTAAACCAATAAATGGACAAAGTAAGTTGTAAATGACCATAACTATTGAAAGTATGCAGTATAATCTTGTCATACATACATAGCATCAGTTTGATGTTGTTGAAGGCGTTTCGAATGAATTTTACTTTATATTAACGCCGACGATAAAGACCGGTAAATTATGCAGCGTATTATAATGGTTAATTTATTAATTAAAGTAATAAGAAGTAAAGCAGATCAAATTGATAACGCAATTGTATTATACTGATTTTCACCATAGACGGTAACGCCCGGGAATTTCCAACGCGTTATATCACCAGCATTACCTTAATTCAAAAATGTGTTTGAGGAATGCATGTAGTTTAAATTTCAATTACTTACATAACTTTCACCGCAGATTATTCAGTGGACTTGATGTCCAAGCCTATTGAATGTTTACTATTTTAAGAGAACATGAGGTGCCTAGGAACGTATTCTCATTATTACCTCATAATTGATTTCGACTGAACTTTCCAAGCCAACTTTATTTAAATGATTTTACATAAGTCCATTTTTTATGTGTTTTTTTCAATATAGGGAGCTGTTTCTTTTAAAGATTTCCTTCATTGTTTTTCTAATTTATACGAGCTAAGTATTCTTACTCACACCTCATTATCTTTGTATGCCTTCAGGGGAGTATTTCATTTTCATGACATCATAATAATCACTTACCGTGAAGATTCCTTTTTTGAACTATCATTTACCTTAAACGATCTTTTTATAGTGTTTGTAACATTGGCTGATCGCTACGTCACAGCTATCAAACACGGTGCAATTCCAGATGTTGATGATGCATTTACAGCTGTAGCGAAAATAGAGAACGCTAAAGTTGAAAAAGAGGCTCTAGACATCTTTAAAAATGAAATGGAGAAAGTAATGCTGCCAGTTTCAGAAAGTGATTTGGGGAAACGTTACACAGACGCACAAAAGAAAGCACTAGATTATCTTCGCAAAAATGCTGTGCTTGACACCCAAGCAAAATGTCAAATTCATGCTCAGGTAAGAGACTATAAATAAATTATATGTCAGACAAAGGGATGCCTTAGTTTCCACCAAAAGTCTTGTCATTTTGCAGAGAATGTATTAAATGGTTTGGTTCTGCCTTAGTCACAAGAATATAAAAACCGTAACAGTTTTAAATGTTAAAGGCTCAGTGCATTGATTTTCTTGGGCAAAAGTTCATATTTAAAAATCTTCCCAGGGTTACATCGTAAAGAATCCATTTATAAATAAAGAAGGAATTCATTCTATTTTTGCATAGGAATAGATGATTTTATTAGATGACACAATGTGAACAAGTTCAGAAACCCAGTGGTCAAGGTCATACTTGAATGTCAAAAGTCATAATATGAAAGTGCATTGATAATTATATTCATTCCATATCTTTTCCATTCATTTACATATTTTCAAATGACATTGCTCAGATAAGTGGTACTTTAAAAGCACATTATACCCCAGACACGGGTAATGTTTCATGTTAAAAAAGTGCAAACATGAACTTTGATTGCATGTACATAATGATTTTAGAGTATATAAAATTCTTATAACATGGAGTAATTGAAGCAACGTGTCAATAAAGTAGCATAATATAAGCAAAATTTAAATTTAATAAATGTAACTTGACTAATGGTAACAGAGCAGAGATGATACAGGTCAACAGCCTTGGAACTATATAAGAACACCACAAATACATGTATATAGATTTCAGAAACAAATAAAAGCATTTCTGGGATAGTTGACTTTTATAGTAATAAAATCTGAGTGTAAGTCTGTAGTTTAAAAGACCAGGGCCACTTAAAGCTAAATCCACAAATGTTCATCGATGGTCATCAATCATGTCAATCATGGATGGATCTTTAATTAACTAGGCATAACTTCTGTTCCTCATTACGACTTGTCACGTTAAAAAACAATATGAATGTCAAAATATTACAGGTGTGAGTCTGTTGATACTTTTGTCATTCGTTCTTGTAAGCTTCTAAAAATAACCGCGCACATTAAAATATCAAGAAAATGCATGACAATCTCCGTTCTTGTAGCATGTCGTCATGTTGTTTTACTGGACCCAGCATAAAATTATTCTGAAAATAATATTAAAAATAATTAAATCAAACAATAACAAGTATAAACTAATTATTATTAGGGTCCATCACCGAATGATTGGTTAAAAATCATCGGCTCCATATCATTTGGCTGTCACCGCTTGTTTTTCCAATTTCGTCAAGGTTTTTGGATTATTTCATGCGAGGTAGATATCCAGCTAGGTCATAAAAGAGCCGTAGTTTCTTCTCAGGTGCCCGTTTGGTTCTAAAATAATATAAGGGCACCTAAGGTCTACTACCGTCAGTTAACACTTACAGTGTCGGTGTGACAAAATCCAACTGAAATTTAAAAAAATGTATTCTTTACAGAGGAAAATGGATGCAATTTGGGAGCAGATAAGAAGTACTAATGAGCAAAAAGTTCGAGACAAATGTGAGAATACATTGAGCAATTTGTTTGGCAAATATCTTGAAAAGAATTTAGAAAATCGAGTGTATGAAACAGCAGGTGGTCATCAAATATATAAGAGTGATGTTAAAAGAACCAAAGATGAATATTTCAATGTACTCAGAGACTTCAAGGAGAACGAGGTATACAAACATTTTAATATTGTATTTCTATATGTCCTTATCTTCTTTCTTTTAATTGGTTTTACTAAAAATGTTTGCTGCTATCGGCATTCAAAAACCGGTTATCACAATTTGCCCAAATTAAGAATGCCTTTATATTTAAACGCACAATTTCTATTTTCAAAAGATACATGTGATAAAAATCGTTTTTAGCTTATCTAAGTGAAAAGTGCACATATGTGCCCTTTAAGAACTGATAGTATCATTATCATCGTGTATAGCTATCCATCATATATTCAACACAAAAAGACTCGCGCTAAATTTAACATGAAAGTCTCTCTAGGAGTTGTTTTGAAAACAAATATTGCTTCCATCTGATTCAGTTGTAGGTAATATCAGCTGACTGAAATATATTTTTTTTAAAGTCTTGTCTTAGAACCTATAATGACCAGAACTTAGATATTTAGATCGTAGCATATCGTAGTGCACATAGCCTCATGATTCATCGTGTTGCATTTAACTTAATGGACATGTATTTTATTTAAATATTAAACATAGTCAAAAGCAAAGATATTTGTTATGTAGCATTGTCCAGTAGTTCTCGTCACACTTATGTGCATCAATACCCTAACCTTAGATATTTGACGTTAATACACCACCACACTTAAGTATGCGTGTGTAAAAATGGTGTTTAACATGCAGCATTGCCCATCCTATAAAAGTGTCAGTTGTGGTCCAATTTTCAAAGCGCTTTATCTTTAAATAAATGAATGACATTCTTGTCTTGACTTATTTTTTCTAGCAATAAATATGAGTGATCTCTTGGCATTAGAATTCTCTTGTTTTAGTGTGCTTCTCTAGAACATACTTGTGTCTTTTTGAAATTTCCAAAGAAATCGTAAAGTATTCATACGGTAAATAACTATTCATTTTTTTCATAGATTTTACCTGCATGGTATGGATATGTAGAAAGTATGACCACACCTGAAGCAAAAATAATTGAAGCTGATAAAAACATGTCACAGATAGAGAAAGAAGGTATTTGTTAATTGCCTTTGAAGAAGTGATAAAATATAATTGAAATTATCCATCGATTAACTGTTTGATACCCCAATGTGACAATGATACCGACTCACCTAGAGACAAACTTTCTTGTATAGCAGACTGGCGTTTCCGTGTGTTTTACCCATGCCGGAAATGTCATCTGGAATGGAGGTGTCAGATGAGTCGCTATCTGTACAATGGCACGCTTAGGATGACGTCATTTTACCGTTATGAATTAAGTTGCAGTTTCATACGCTGTTGTAAGAAAATAGTTACGGCTGTAATGATATAAATTTCCGTTGAAAAATAAAGATAAAGAATTTAGAATATAATGGAATATTGTAGAATATGCAAGAAAAAATATCTGACATATGTTTGCGGTTCGAATCGGAATATCCGCCCCTAGGTAACCCGCCAAAGGGCGGTAACTCGGCAAGCCTCGTTACCGGCCAATTGGCGGGTCACCTCGGGACGTATATTCCGGTCCGAACCGAAACATATGACAGATATTATTAATCTATACCTATCACCCTTCCGCTCCATTTTCCACTTAATCAAGGAATATAACGTGATCAAATTAGGTATATCAAACCCATTAATTATCATAATAAACAGTAGTATTTTATAATACCGTAGTTTACTTTACATATGGTCTAAATTCTTAAAGAATGACAGTAAATGATAAAAAACATTGTTTATAGCTAAACATATTGAAAAATGGTTGTGCACTCTTATATTGATATTCTAAAAATATGATTCAAATATAATGCTTCGATAATCATAACTTTAGGTCATAAATTCACGATTATTAATACCCCTTTCAGCTGAGCAAAGACGAAACCAAGAGAAACTGGACAGATTATGGAAACAACAAGAAAAAGCTCAAGAATACGCGTTCGAAAAACAGATAAAAGATTTAAAAGATCATTACGAAAAGCTAGATCAAGATCGTCGTAAACAGCAAGCAGCAGAAAAAGAAAAGTATGAAGCATTGGTGAAAGAAAAGTTGGAAAAAGAAGCAGCACAAAAGGAAGCTGAACGCTACAAACTTGAACAAGAAGCTGCAGATAAAGAAGCTAAACGCTATAGAAAGGAACAAGACGACGCACGTGAGGAAGCTGAGCGTTTAAGAAAGGAAAAAGAAGAGAGAAAGCAAGAGTGGGTTTGGACAAGAGTGTGGAAAGCGTTCTGGAATATATAAGACATACACATTTTGTTTTCGTGGTGACACTGCGAACGTTTTCAATTAAGTAGTTACACACGTTTTTATGTCGACAAATGGTATTATATCCATTTAATTTAACTTTACGTTGCATAACTATAAAGAGGCGTTCATTGTATCGAGCTCATATTTGATTATAAAAATAATATATATAACTTTAAAATCACAGATAAATCGACATTATATCTCACATAATACTTAACATTTTTTAATGTAAGAGTTCCGTCCTGCACAAATGGATAATAGATTGTGGAAATCAAATCATATTTTTTTTAATATTTTGAATTCAGTCTGCTGTTCGGTTTGAATTTTACGATTAGAATGAAAATGGTGATACTATCTTTGTTTTTATGATAGGATGTTCTTTTTGATAACGATTTTTTAAAAACAATTGTTTAATTGCTTGACTGTTATCTTTTGACCGTTTAGATATTTAGATATATATTTCGTAAATTTCAATATATTCATTGTGAAATTCGTTCAAAGAAGAATGATAACTGTAACATATACAAAATATATATTATTCGTCATTGTTAAAACTATGTCAGAATAAACAATTACCTGATAAGTCACCGTCTTAAGTTATATGTTTTTATATCGGATATAAGTAAGTTGAACCAAGGTTGGTGCACACTTAACCAAAGTTTTAACTAAAAGATATATTTATATATATTAGATATATATTATATGTTTTGTGGAAATTCACGAAGCAAAATCACATGCCAAGTATTTCAGCTCTGGGCATCATAGTTACACTGAATATAATTTTTCCTTACTACACTAATGATGCACGAGGGGTTATCCAAAATTTATGGATGTTTTAAATATCTCTTGAACGACAACGTGTATTGAAAGAAAATTTTATCAGCATACTGTGTAGACAATAATCACACATTTTGAAAGGAACAGTTTACTGCGACAATAAAAATGATTTTGTATTGCTTTTAAAGAAGCGCATACACGGCATCTGACACATGGTAGACAAGCGCAGTAAGACATCGGTTTTGTGTGTGCTAATTTTGAACTAATAATTAACGAAACCCGCTTAACATCGCATGTTTCTTCCATGACTTCATTTTAGTGATTTTTTAATTGTGAACGTCATTTCCGTTATTTTTTATTGATATCACTTGAAACTCCAGAAGCCGATATTGTTTACAATGGGAAAACGACGGACAAGCAGAAATTAGAAAATCGCGCGATTATAAAGTTTTGTTGTAATTTGGGAATGACGCCTACTAAAACGACAAAAAAATCAGCAGGCGGACAGAAAAAATAAAATTTCACGATCATTAGTGTTTAAAATGACATAAAAGATTTAGTTGTGGACGATATACAATTATCAACGCGCGCATGATTGACGACGTCAAAACGTGCCTTGATACAGATGGCGTCTAACCATATAATAAATTATGGAGGCGACCGATTGCAGTAATGGGACATAGTGGCGCATTGTAAAACAATTACATAATAAATAATAACAACATTTTTGTTTACATTTAATTGGTAGTTGCATTCTTTACGCTAAATACGGGTCAAGGGACATCTGCGTGGTCGCCGGTTTTCAGTCTAATTGCCAATCTACTAAACGCTTCACAGCGTAGTATATTTCCGATAGACGAGGCATGATTTTCGGATGTGTACCAGCGTTGGATTCATGAACGATGTGTGCAGGCCGGGGGACATTACCTACGGTGAGGTACAAGTTGTACGTTATTATGACGTTGACGTCAATACATATTTGGAGTGCACTGCTGTCGCCGACAGGTGTTTATGCAAGCTTTATTATTGTAATAAATAACATGAATTGTTTTGTGTTTTATTTATACTATTTATTCTTCTAAGCAGTGTAAGAATTTCAAAACAATATCCCAAATATATTTAACGCAACAAAGAAAATCCACGAATTTTTGGATAATCCCTCGTATAGCTCAAATGACCCAAAAGGCGTAAATGTCAGTTTTGTGAACGTCCATAAGGCAATGCTACATACCAAAGAACTAAGCTTTGGACAAAAAAGTTTCACACAGAATGATGTATATGTATTTTCCTATATAAAAGTTTATATCAAGTTTATATCATGTGACCACAGTGGCGGACAAAACTGGCTCAAGAAGAATACTTACAAGAAGTGCTGTAGTTATCCAAATGGGCCTACAACATGACATTTATCTAAATTCGGGGTGATTTAGTTTCACACAATTAGACTGAAACATATCTTCTATATCAACCAAATGACCCCTTTGATGGGCCAAACATCGACAAAAAGTTCATAAATGTTGTTGAAATCTTAATGACTATGTTTCATGCCAAATATTGAAGCCTTGGGCATGATAGTTTTACACAAAACGTGTTTGCAAAAATAAGTCTTTTCTACTCAGCGATTTCAAATAAGTACACTAAGGGCGTAAGAAATATCAATTTTATAGAGGTCCACAAGGAAATGTAATACTATAGTGATTAATATCTTAACAATGGGTATTTTAGATTCACACATAAGGACTTCGTTCTCTTTCTTGACAAGTGTATATAAATCAAATATACCCAGAGCGGCGTATATATATCGACCAGAGGGGCATAACAAACATCACTTATGTAGAGATTAAGTGTAATGTTACACCTAGGCATTGTAGTTTTACACTATAAAACATAATCATGTGTTTTAAGTTTGAATATTGAGTTCTGCTTAAGCCGGTACTAGGGGTCGCGGTAACGGTAAGTTGCACTTTCCAGTACCAGCCATGGACAGGCGTAATTAAACCGAGTCTATAACAGTTTCAATTTTGTCGTTTTGCGCGTTCTTAAATGATTCCGTTTTCTCTAGTTTCCTACATAAGTTTATATTAATCAGGTGACACCAAGGCGGGGAAAAGTTTGATCCGAGGAAGTTCAAACAACCTAGGTTCTCCAAATCGATTCAAAAGATACAGAGCGGACACGAAATTTAGAAATTTAAGCACAGTCAACATTTCTGTCCACTTTTTTCAATTTACTTTTGTCGATTTAAGCGGACACGAAATAATTTAAAGACGAAAGGATGAACGGCAAGGTCCATGCCACTCTACGCTCAAATGGTTTAGGGCCTAAAGAAAAAAGGAAATAGTTACTTGTCAGTAGCTTATTTTTATATCTGCATGCAATTGTATTTAAAACAAAAGTACGTGTAAACAATCACATCTTGTCCTTAAATATCTAAATCCGATGCGTATATTAAAAATATGTCGACGTGTATCAAATTAAGTCTTCAGGGTAGTCGATCATTTAAAAAGAAGCAAATCACGTTGCACAAACAAGGTCAAATATAGTAAGGGCAGCATTGTTATAATTTCCGTCATTATGAACATAAACTGTGAAACGTTTTTTAACAAAGAAAAGTAATAGCGTTAGCAAGAGCACTACAGCTAAACACAGTTGTCTCTCTTATTATTTTACCGTAAAAATCTATCTGTATACACTTCTTTCATTTATATGTAGTCCATATTCTATGGAATAGATATAGAATTATGCTAAATTAACCAAATTGTCGACGTTGTTTTACGTGCTTAAACCAGAAATGCATGTACATGAAAACTGTACGTAAAATATACAAATATAGACATCTTGCATATAACCAATGTTAAATTACTTGGCATCTTTTTTTATTGGACATCAGTACAATAAATTATTTATTGTGTTTCTATTATCAGCATCAACCCGACTTTTCTAAACCTTATTGAGAAGCGTAACACTATACTATAGTTGACATTTTTTATTTATTTACTCTGTTTGCTCTCCTTTGAACCACTCAAAATGAATTAAAGCATTTTCTTTTACCAATCGTATGAAAACTTTGTAAACAAGTCAAGTCTTGATAATTACATAAACTGTATCTTTAAATACTACAAAGTACATAATTATTAATTTATACCTTATAAGGACATAGTAAATCTAATAATGAATTCTGCACAGTCGTTTTTTTTTTCATTACAGCTATACTTTCTAAAGCAAAACTGCACAGCATTGTTTGTATTCATCTACATAGCTTGTCATTTTTTTTCAACTATTCCAAACAATAAAAAAATGATATTTCATATACATTTCTTTCTAGGATTGATTAAGTTATTAAGTGATTGTATGGAATTTTGTCAGTATTTGTATACATGTTGGTTTATGAATTTGTCCACTGCCTATACTTAATAATATCAAGCCTTGTTATTAAATACGGATTATTTTCAATAAAAATAGTTATTGCATAATGGTGAAAATGAATAATTACTGCTGGCCTCCCGGGACTTAAAGAATGTGATGAAATTTAGTGCTATTTAAAATTGGGGGCGTCCGTGGCCGAGTGGTTAAGGTCGTTGACTTCAAATCACTTGCCCCTCACCGCTGTGGGTTCAAATCTCGACAGGGACTTTGAATTCTTTAATGTGAGGAAGCTATCCAGCTAGCTAACGGAACGTCGGTAGTTCTACTCAGGTGCCCTTTCGTGCCTTAAATAATGCACGGAAGGACACCTGAGGTCTTCCTCCACCAGTAAAGCTGGAACGTCGACAAATAACCTATACTGTGTCGGTGTGACGTAAAACCCAAACAAACAAACAAACAAAAAAACAAGCTATTAAAATTACTAAAATTAGTAGAAAAGAAAAAAGCATTTAATGTATTTGAACATTACAGAAAAAAAAACATAGACATTTGTCAGACATTTCAGACAAAGAAACCACAGGCAAATATTGTCAATGTCAAAGCAGAGTTTAGACAAGACATTGTCATTTTTGTAGCTGGGAAAAAGTGTATTGCCCTTAGACTGTTTTTGGACTTGGTATCGCTCTTGAATCTCAGATAAATATATAATATATATATTTAATTGATATACATATAGGTTTGAACAATCTTAACGGTTTTTCTATAATCTTTGATAATCCCTTATTTATCACAGTAACTGTATGTTAGAGCTATTATCGACTTAAGAATAGTATGGCACTAAGATATAATGCATTAAAGGGACGTGGTCATTTATCTTTAGATTACAATTTAAGCTAAGCCATCAATGAACTTTGAAAAATGTTTAATTTTCGTTTTCGTTTAAGCATTGTTTAAAGTTAAGTACTCGGAACTTATAAAATCATACCACGTAAACATATTCAGAACT